CCTTTTTTGTTGAGGCTAAAACGATGCAGAATTGGTGCTTCTGCTAACATAGAACCCATGTTTTTGGCTTTGGTTTTGGCAGCTTGTGGTAATTGCTGGAATTGTTTGGAACCGTCCGACCTCTTGCGCGTATGTTTTTCTACTATCCTGTTTTTAGTCTCTACAGTAAGAGAAAGGGATAATTATAGTAATATTCTATTACCCTTTTTTCATTGATTGGAGTGAAAAAGGTTATAGGAGAATGTTAGTGGGAATGGGATAAGATAATATTTGTAATTTTGTTTGGTAGATTAGTTTGTGTCCTGGTTGAACCGGTTATTGAGTGGGCTGGCTTGGGTTGGGTTGGGTTAGGTGGGCTTCTTCTGTGCTAAAATAAATAGTGATAATTCAGATTTTGGTTTCCGGTTTCTACCGTCTCTCTCAACTGGCACTTTTCCCCAGAAGTTGCAGAAAAAACTTAATGTCAATCAACCTATTGAGGGAGGTGAGTATGGGTTTTTTTTTTTACTCGGTTCAGCCTCTGATTCACCCTGCGGTAGTGACTCGGTTTTTAATTGGACCGGCCTGGGTCTGGACTCTGGAGTGGTAGCAGAGGAGGGGTTGGAGATATTATATAGCTTTTGGGTTTGGGTCTGGGTCTGGGTTTTTATTGTGCTCAAACGTTTGAACAATGATTGGAAACAAGTTAAAGGGGTTTCAAAAACGTTGAATTTGGGAAGAACCAAGTCTTGTTTTCTTCTAGATTGTTGAAGTAGAACCTTACTTGGTGTTTGTTCTTTTGTGGAAGCAGATGGGCAGCTAAGGTTCTGGTGAACAGTGTTCAAGCTTGTGACCATGGACGAAAGGTTTGGCATTTGAAGGATTGTTTGATTTTTAAAGTTTGAATCAAATATTTGTAAAATTGTGGATGTTATTTGCTTTATGTCTTATAGCCCTCTTCTATGACTGAGCCATGATCCAATATGTCTGCATGATAATGAACTTTCTCCATTTCTCATATTTAGACATTATTTTTCCCTAAAAATAAATGGGGGGCATATGTTAGGCATCCAATAGAAAAGGTACTTATCCTGCGTTAGTCACTTTTTAAAGTTCGAGGACGTATTAGACGCAACTCTGAAAGTTCACTCTTGCTATTTAACCAAAAGTTAACTATCTTAATTTTAGCTCTTTCAAGGAGTAGAGCCCTTCAAAAATTAAGATAATTCCTATGGGATGATACGCCTTCTTTTTGAAGTTCCCCTCGTAGCTTGAAAATTTCCTCTCCCCTTGTGGCTTGAAAATTTCCTGTAAAGTGGTATTCATGAACACCGCCCCTGTTAGGTATTATATACTATGGGATCCCATGGAACGGGATGATCTATTCCGAAGTGTTGGGCAACTATTGAAGATATATATAAAGGTGGTTTAAGGGGAGTGTAAAAACTTGGTTAAGCTGTCCTCCATCATCGCCTTAGTGTCCTTTCTCTCTGATTTAGATTTTCTTTCGACGAAATTCGATGCCAAATTGTTCCATGATAGCTCAAGAATCAGCAATGGCTGTGGCAGTCAAGTGGGTGAATTGCTTAGTCAAGTGGGTGATAGCATATTCTAACTAAGTCGTTGCCTTTTCCCTTCCCTAAGTTACACTTTTGTCGGTATTACAAAATGTCTTGATAGCTCCTACCCCCTCTTGTAATTAGCCTGCATTTAATGCCCTTAATGCTCTCTTGGAGTTTGTGGCTCAATCAGTATTATATCCATTTGGACCTTTTGTCGTGACGTTTGACATTCAATTTCTTTTGTTTTCTTTCATTTCTTTCTTTTTCTGTTTACCTTAATTGTATTGCCTCTTGCAGGAAATAGGACTTCCAAGTCAAGTTGCAAGGTTCACAAAAGTAAGCTACTATTTTAGATATTATGGTAGTTCAATATTTGATTCATGAACACACACACAGTTTGAAAATGAAAATTTGATCAATATTATATTGCGGCGAGCCCTTCCCTTCAATTAAGAAGTATTGCAACAGTCAACCACTCACAAGAATCATGACGATAGTCATCTGACCTCCAAACTATATGCTTCTTATCGACTATATTTTTTTTACGTGTTGAACAAGATCAACCGAAACTAATGTGCCCTCATGTGAAAACAGAGGATTGAGGCAGTTCCAAAGCATCGGAGCGAAAGTGGACTTCTAAACTCCTTAGGTGGAAAGATTAATGTCTACAACCAAAAGAATCAGGAGCATGTCCAAGTGACTGAAGTGAAGGGTCCTACTTCAACCAGCATCTGCAATATAAACCTTTCAACTTCTGGTGAGCTGTGCAAATATGGTAGCCAATATTGCTTATATACTTGTTCTTGGAGCAGAAAAAATTGTTACTGCTCGTCTCCTTCACTGTTCACCAATGCTATATCTTTTAATTGTTACTCGTATTTCTTCTGCATTATCTTTGGATCCTCGTTATCTGATGGAATTTTTGCAAGTAGTATACTTCTATTTAGATATAAACCAAAGGGAAAATTATATAAAGAGAAAACAAGTCTATTCGGGCGCCCAGGCGGTCGAAGACTCTCCACAAAATGATATTACTAGCCTAACTCTCTGTTCACGTGCCCCAAAAACATATACTTCTGTCAACAAACTCATAGTGAGGACTCCACTGCCCTCGCTTTCAAAATATACTCTTCGACCGCCACTTTCTCGCACATGTAATATGCATGGGTGGGCTGATTGTACCATTCACAGTGGTCTATGACATTTCTTTTCCTAGTTTCAAGGAGTATTTGGTAATTTTTGCGAGGAGTTGTATTTTTTTGTTCAAATAAAATGTCCCATGATTTATTTATAACAAGCTGATGGTGGCAGTTCCTCTCAACAAATGGATGGGACCAGCTATCAAAATGTCTCTTCCAAGTTACAGGTAACTTTGTTTATCTCTATTCAATAGACAACTGTTTTTGTTTGCAAACTTCCTACTTCATGGCTTATGATGACAGTTCCATTGTTCTAAAATGTCAGTGGGCATACAGAATATACTCCTGAATTATTCAAATACTCATGCCAGATTCGATGCAGGTTTGTGTCTCTGTTTTCTAGTTGCTTCTACCTCTTCATCTCTCATCTCATGAAAATTCAAAATTCTTGGATGAGAACTGGAGTTTGGCATGTGTGGAAGTGATTTTAGAATAAGTGTTTTTGGCCCAAGGGATTTGTATTAATAACTTTTGTAAAAGGTGCTTTAATTATTCTAAAATCACTTTCAAATATGTATTTATTTCAATAATCAGATTTAGTATTTAAAGAGTCGAGAACCTGACAAATTTCATTTAGGGTGCGAGCAGTAAAGCCAATGAAGGTCTCGGTCGAATTTCCCGCTCAAAATGAGCACCATTCTTGCACGAGAAGAGGCGGAGAAGGTGCAGAAGAGGAACAAAGCCTCAGCACATCTGTACTATTGTCAAAGCCCATACTAGCTTTAGAATTTAGTTGCATGGAAATGAAAGTTGAAGCTCCCACTGTTGTTTCTCAATATTTTAACCACTCTCTCAGAACACCTTGAACGAATCCCATTCCAATCCCACTCTATTCACAGTTAAGTTACATATGTTGAAAATTCTTTCCCAGAAGTCTTGTACAATATGTGAGAGACTCATCACAACAAATTAAACTCTACTCTCACAAAGTTAACAGCAGCTTCTCATTTTGCCTAAGATACCTTCTCTTCTCTACAGAATCCATGAAAGATGACAAAAACAATAAAAGAGATCTTTTTACCCCATATACTTTTCTCATTTTTTACTGGTGATCTTTACAAAAATCTTCCTCTCCAGTGTGGTGACACTTGAGGGATAAAGAAGGGAAAGCAATCTTCTCACTCTCGGATCAATCAAACTTCACTCTTTGACCTCAGCTTGGCTTGAATTCTCGAAACTGCATTGACACTTTCAGAAAGCTTCTGGCAGAGGCTGACTTTGCAAAAATGACTTGAACAACACCAGTGATCTTTCAGGTTGTGAAAATGGTGCCTCGTGTGATGCCCCTCTGATTGTGGCGAAGGAAAGAATGTTGCCATAAACTTGAGTCCACCCACCAACCTGAAGAGCAAAAACCATTCACATTCATTCATATGAAAACTGATTTCTTACTTTGTGATATGTCATATCTCAAACTGTTTCTGGATTTGTTTTGTTAGACAAGATTTACCTGCTGTCCCTCGAACCAGACTCTGTATGGCACAGTTGTTTTTAGTCTCAACTGTTTTGCTAGTTTATGAACAAGAGTTCTACTTCCTGTGAGTGGAATAACAGAATCTTGATCCCCACTGCAAATTCAAGATGTTTGAAGCATTCAGTTTAAACAGCTTTAGAGTCGAAAGAGTGTCCAGTTCCGTTCAAAGGTGTTTCATTTACCTGTAGACCAACACTTGTATTCCTGCTTTGATCAGTTTCCCAACAATGTTAATCGTCGGTATCTCCAGGTCCAGCAGCTTATAATCCAGAATGCTATCAATTACGAAAGAAAAAACATGAAGCTTTACCATTTCAAATATCTTAGTGGGTATTGTTAGTGTGAAGAAGTTTGTATTACTTGCTGCAAACAGCCCATCGTCGCACTCCCACAAGCCGTGCATGGAGTTCCTTGTGTACATCTTGCCTATTGAGATAGTTAACCGTCTCGTCCTCCACACAGACATCGACCGACTCGGTTACTTGCTACACAGGATGAAGAAATGTGAGATCCTGAGAAAGCAAAAGAGAAGTAAATCTACTGGTTCTCTACTCACTTGAGGGTTGAGGATTTTGGACTGTGAGAACACAGACGATATGCAGACATCAAGAGTAACATCATACTTGTCAACAAATCTACTGGTTTCTTTGCTCACTTGGCTCATCACCCTTGAGCAAATGGGTGAAACAGACCCCCTATAGTACTCACTCACATACCGAGAGTAGTTACACATCGACGTGAACATTTTAAATGTTGAATCTGATATCAGTCCGTGCGACCAAAGGAACTCGGCCCTCGAATTGAAGTCGGTAGTGAAATCTAGAACAGGATTACCAATCTGAAAATCAAGTGTATGATACGTAGTGCATTAGTTTAAGTTTCAAGAATCAAATTAGCAAACACGATGAATGGGGTTTGAATTTGCATTTACTCACAGCAATGCCTCTAAGGTTTAAAGAGGTGTGGTTAGATTGGAGCATAAGTTCTGCCAGTTGGGGAACATAATGACCTGAACCAATCAAGAAACCGACAGTGAGAATGCTTTTTTGGTAGAAATCAAGAAGGAAGATGAAAATTTTTGGGAGAAATGGTAGAGCATACCAGCATAGCTTTCTCCAGTAATGAACAAGGCTCTGTTTTTGTAATGTGGGAATCTGGCAAACCATTTCTCCAAGAACTCCAGATTGTCCCTTGCTACAGAGATATAAAACATAAACATCAGTTCCCAGCCTCTTAAAAACTAAAAACATATTAGAGAAAGGTAACTTTTCATTTAAAGGGAGATACAAAAGTCCACCTTCATCCATGATAATTGCTGAAAATGAAAGTTACAGTGGGATAGTAGAGGGTGATTTCTGTAATTCTCTTTTATTCTCTTTTTTGTACCGTGAACAGTATCACTGAAAATGGCACCACTCAAAAAGTGCAGTCTCCCACAAACAAAAGAGAACAAAGAAAAGATAACAATAAAAAGAAGAAAAGGAAAAGAAGGCAGAAAAGGCAAGAAGGAAGCGTTTTTCACTTGCTAACAAACAAAAGAAGAGAGGGGCCAACAAAACAATAGCATGAAGTGGGGAAGTTGACCTTGAAGAGCCTTTTCTTCAAGTTAGGAATTCATTTTCAACAATGTGGAAAATATCATCATCTCACTTTTACTTCAAAAGAAAAGGGAAAAAAAAAAGTTTCCAAGCAAGTTCTGATTTTCACATTTCCCCACCTGTGATTCTGTCATCCACAGCCTCATAGGAAGAGGTATCAGTCGAATACGAAAACCCAACACCCACTGGCGTCTCCAAATACAACATATTCGCTTCTGAAGATCACAACAAACACAGAACAAACCAGACAAAAGGACAACCATCAAAATAACACCCAAAAATCTTCAATCCTAACCAGACGCATTTCAACAAACACTTAGCAGGCAAAACGATGGGAACCTGTATTCCAACTGTGCTCATTCCGGATCAGAACCTCCCCACGTGGCCGGAACGGCCCATTTTCAGAGAATGCCCCAACTCCC